AAAAGGTTTATCATTGATTGAAATTCATTCAGAAATGTTTAACGAATGAGCTGTCACAACTTTCAAGTACAAAGTTGTTATGAAGTCTGTCACATTCCCCCCCTTTTTTTTCTTTTTTCTTTTCTATCCTTTATTTATTTATCCTTCTTATTTCTTTGTACTGTATATTGTTACTCTTATTTGCCTTGTATGTCTACTGTACAAACTGAACTGGAATTACTGACTGTTCGCTTTATAATTTCAATAAAGTTTTGAAAAAAAAAGAAGAAAACCCTCTTCAGCCTCCCTTCTGCCGTATTTTGCGGAAAAATTATCCACACCCACCGTCGCGCAATGAATTGTGGGATATATGGGACCACGAAGCGTGCACCGGACCACGCTTGATATTTGGGGAAATCGACAGCGCGTTTGGAGTATGCATTTGAAGTACACTTCGAATTGGGACAGCCGTCGTCGCGTGGCGGTGACGTAACCGCACTTAAAATGCGTACTTCAAGCATGCAGACCCTGAAATGGGACACAGCCTATGATTCAGCACAGGAGGGAGGGGGTTAGTGAGTCCTGAGTGATTCGTTCGCTCTATGATTCAGCACAGGAGGGAGGGGGTTAGTGAGTCCTGAGTGATTTGCTTACGCTTACGATTAGGGATGGGTACCGGTGTCGCACCGGTTCTGACATAAACGGTAGTAACCAGACCGAAAAGCAGCGCACATTCCGGTGCTTTATTTTCCTGAGCTGTGATACACTTCTAGCCAATCATTTTACGTTTCCGAGGATAGTAGGCAGGTCCAGGTACGTACGTTCTTTTAGAGCAGAGCTACAGATTAAAAATGCCCTAGGCTAAGCGGTCAAAAGTCTGGCAGTACTTCACAGCAAAATATGCAAACTCAGCAGCCTGCAACAAGTGCTTTAAGCTGATACTGTGATACTGTCAAAGGAGCTAACACCACAAATCCGATGAAACACCTGGCGACGCATAGCGGTTTTTTAAAAAGCCGAGAAATGCGCCGTATTTGATAGCTTGCTGTGAGACCTCACACCGAGCACATCTACTGCGGGTGGGTTGCCTGTTATCGGACCCGGAGTTAGCAACATCCCCCAAAAACAC